CAAAATCAGAGTACTTCAGTTAAAGCTGAAGTAGAATAAGAGTTATAAGACAACTACCCTTGTGGTGTGTCAGAAACATGGATATGATAATTAATATTCAACAAGATACATGAAATTGAAATAATTGAATTTTACCATTTTCCTTACCAAAAAAGGTATTCAGATACATACTAACCTCATTGACAAGTTTGTTTGTTTGTAGTTACGCACAAAGCAACACAAAGGGCTATCTGTGCTCTGCCAACCACAGGTATCGAAACCCGGTTTCTAGCATTGTAAGTCTGCAGACATACCGCTGTGTCACTGGGGGGCTCTTTGACAAGAGGCCCGAGAAAAATAACATATCTAAACAGTGTAATGGCAACAAAACTATTGAGCTTCTGGTTTACACAAAGTGCTTAAGAAGTGTACTGGGTAAGGACGTTGTGTCAACCTCTTGTTGATGGAGGAATTTGGTCTAATACCACAATTGCATAGTAGACTAATGAAGAACACATTACATTCAAGGGTGAAAGTTCTTTGAATTGCATGGCACCTACACAAAACTTTTTCAGCATTAGTGCTCAAGCACTAATTAATTGTTCTGTGGAGAGGTGAGTATAGTGTGGTCTGAATTAAAACTCATGGCTTAGAACTGTAGAGAGCCATTAATGTCCATAATATACAAAATGGAATAAACATGTCACTTCTTAAAATTTCGAATTTAAACAGTTAGAATTTTAATTTCTATACAAGACAATTTCTTTGAACTTTTTATGATACACAAGTTCCTCTAGATTCTTTATAATAAGCTATTATCTTAGATTCCTTATATTAATTCACACACAATATAGTTATAACTATTGTCATTTAAATTTATTTCATTCAAACACTACCATTTATTCTCATATGTAAATTCATTTCCTACACTGAATTTAATCAAATCTAACCTGTATCATGAACAATGAGAAATAATTTACTAATCATGAACAAACATATATCAGCAATATCAAGTGGTAAAAAAAAAAGTCAAAAATGCACACAAACAAATGTTGTATGAATTCTACTTGACCTGCTGACCACAGGTTTCGATTGTGTACTTTTCCCTATGTGTCTTAAAACACTTTATAAAAGTTCTAAATAATGCAATAAAAAGAAATTCTACTTTAACATATATTTCATTTCTGTACACGTATCACTACGATCTTTTATACTATAGGTATCTCATCTACTAATTCAATCACAAAAATGCTATTGATACTACACATCAAATGGTTTATAGTTACAATTTACACACTAAGTTCAAAACTCTAGCAATGTGTCATTATGGTAACTGATTTTCTTACATACTTTCACTATGACACAGCACAATTCACCATGGCAGTCGATAATGGCCACATTCTATCCAGTTAAAACTAAAAAATAATGAACATATTTATTCCAATATGTTCAGGAATATTATTAAAAAGAAAATGGTGCACTTGTGTTACATTTAGTTAAGATTCTTTTCAACCAAATTTAATTGGTTGTGAACTCTGATCCTCTCTCAAATCTTGGGTTAGCTCTTCAAATGCTCTATTCAGATTTATGTAATAGCTTATTGCAAAGACGATTATCTGATTTTGTATATGAGGGCGAGTGTCTTTACAGTTGGTGTCCATAACTTATTCACAATAAATGTCAACAATATATGGACAGCACCCAATCTACTTGTTTCAAAATAATATATTCAAAACAAGTCAAACATATGTACAAAAATTTGTTTCACTGTTGGTTATATCTAAAGCTGTAAATAATTCTCTTGTCAAAAGTTCACACAGACTGTTTCAGTTACTTTAGAATTCAATTGACAAGATGAATTAATATTCTCTACTCTGTTTCTTACTGCATAATCTACACTAGATTCACTTATGTGTTACCACAGTTGTATCCAGAACTTTAAATAATTGTTTCATCAAAGTCCACATAAATGAGTTTAAATGACTCTAGAACACCCTTTGACAAGACAAATTATTCTCCTTGATCTCTGTTATTGCAATAACACTCTGAAATTCACTTTAAATATTGTCCGTTACAGATAAACACACAGTCTAACTTCACTTACACTAACCTAATGTTTTCTGACTTAACTTCTTGTGCTCACTTGGTCACCTATATATATATATTTTTTATTTTGCTGCAAACCAGTTCCACATCATGATGCACTGAGATGCAAATGAACATTAATGGTAATTGGCTCCTTTCTCAAGACTTTAATATATCATAACTGATGCTTTTATTTTCTAGTCTGCAATTCTTTGCAACACTCCTGGGCAGGTTCTTAAATGTTTTCAATCAGTGTTTTTCTTCTACTTTCTACGTGGCTCAGGAATAAGTGTACTTTTTTCATCAATGTATTGTATGCCAACATATGGGACAGACTAGTCATAAAACTCGTAGGCATGCTTACTAAACACTTTATTATCATCTTTTACTCCAAAATACAACTTCCTTATTTTTGTTTCTGAACATGGCAACTTGCATGTTCCTTGGTTAAACCAAATAATTTGATCTGCACAAGTCATTCCTTTTCCTTTTTGACCTAAGTATGACCAGAGACACATTTAGGGTATGTGGAGCCCTGAGATAGATGGGATTGTGGGGCAGCTGGGGCACCGGGTCCCAAACAATGTATTGCGTTGTGTGATTTTTGGGGTTGCATCTTCCAACTACTCTTCACAGCCAAGCAGTAAAAAAATTAAAATAATTCTAAAATTGGTCAATTTTTTACTCTAAACAAAATGTAATTTTATTAATTTTGTAAATAAAAATCATGTTTTACATATTTTAACTATCAATTAAAATCATCTATTCAGATTTGTGTAACAGCTTATTGCAAAGACAATTGTCTGATTTTGTATAAGAGGACCAGTGTCTTTACAAGTAGGTGTCTGTGACTTATTCACGATAAATGTCAACAATAAATGGACAGCACCCAATCCACTTGTTTCAAAATAATATATTCAAAACAAGTCAAACACTATATGAGACAGACCAGTCATAAAGCTCATAAGCATGCTTATCAAACACTTTATTATCTCTGTTATTACAATACTGCTCTGAAATTCACTTTAAATATTGCCCGTTACAGATAAACTGACTGGAATCCATTGGGTAGTCACTGATACTATTGGAATCGTGCCCATCTAAGTCAATTAAAATGATGAGATGAGGAATCCCTGGAGGGAGGAACAGGTAAAGGTTGAGGACTGGATTGGAAACAGGAATAGAGGCTTGTCGTGGTTCCAACTTTGACAAACGAGCTAGCAAAGAGGAAAAAGTAGTGTTAACGCACAGACTCCACACATGATTCCAAACTCTCAGGTACATTGTTGAAAACATACCGCTGAAGAAAAGGAACCACATGTAAATCCCCTAGAGAAGTGGGCAGTAAATGAACCTGGAACAAGACTGCGTGATAACTCAGAAGATCCCAACAACAGAGAAACCATGTGTGTAAACTAAGAGATGAAGAAGACAAACAAGCCAACATGGAGGTAATAAGGGAGAGGCTGTCCTTTGGAAAACCCTCGGTGTATAGAAGGCTTGTGGCATGTTTAAAACTTTTTTTCCATATAAACCAACAGAACGAGAATAACTATTTATGTGAGTGGAGGTAATATACTGTATCAGAAACAACTTTTCAGACCTGTAATTAATTAGTACATATGTGCTGGTTTATCTGGGGCAATCAAATATCCTTTGATGTCAATGAAACCTTGTTTGATAGTTACCTTTACTTATTTTTTCATGTTTGTGTGTTACGTTTGCATATATATGTGCATACCCTACTCTGACACACCTTCATGTTTACCTTTATCATAATATAGTGATATATAATTAATTATGCAGCTGATACTGGAGCCTTATAAGTGAAATGTGTATTTTGTTAAATTCTAAATGATAGCAATTTAAACATCTTTAAAATACATAAAAACTTTAAGGCTGATTTTAAAATTGTGTCCCATAACAATAATTATAACAAAACAAAATTCTCTTATTTTTTCACATTGTATAGTACTGTTAGTTCTCAGCATCATTGAAACAATATATGTGCATCTGTTTTGCTTTTACTATTTAACTCAGCTTAACTTGATACAGCATATAAAAATAGCCGATAGCAATCAGATCTCATTTTTGACGGATAATTCCTCCTCGTGGATTTTTGCTGATTCTGGTAATGTAACAATAGAGAAAATATATACTTGCCATTTCCAGAAATATAAATCTAAAAGTGCTTTTTTTTATTCCTGTTTCAAGATGAACAATAGCAATCAAAACACTGTTCCAATACTATTTGACTTTTTTTATAATTTCATAACCTTTTGAGATAAAGCTAATTAATCTTCTTGTGGTTATATTTACGAAAATATTGACAGTATTAGGTCTTTTATAATTAGAACAGGTCTGTGCAAGGACTTTTCTCCTCATAGGTCATTCTATATAAATTTATGAACAGTCAAAAATACCTTTGCAGAACTTAGTCTTATTTTTAAATGAACTTGGCAAGGTGGACATTACAGTAATTTGGAACCCATTGGATGAATGGTTTGAGTTTCACACACAGCACACTAAGCCAAAAATCACAGAAACACCAGTAAACCTGAAGGAAAAATCTTCATTGCTTATATTCAGTCTCAGCTTCATCATAGTAAGCAACTATTCATCAGCTACTGATAGTTTAGTTTTGACTTGACAAAACTAGATTCACACAATTTAAGCAATAAATTAAAAACACCATAGTTAGGTAGACCTGTATAAAACTTGATCTTTTCATGGGAAAGAGACCTTGGTGTAAAAGATTGGTTAGACAGTTCCTTTTCTAAGTCATTTCTTTCTTTTCAGAGTCAATTAATTTCAAAGAAATACATGTCACATTCAGTTTTAAATTGTCTTTCACTTTAAAGATATTTTTTTTAATTTTTGATCTTTTGCTGTAAGCAATATCAACCATTGTTTGTTTTTGTGACTACTTATGTTACCTTTGGAATTATCTCTGTGCAATATATATTGGTTCATCAGCTGCAACTGTAACACATTCATTACTTATAGTTTCAATCTTTCTGCATTTGTTGCAACTCTCAAACCTTTTGAAGTTTAACCTTATGACTGCTTGCATTGGTAGTTGAGAATGTAAAAACACTTGGTATGTAATCAAGGTGACTAGGATCACTGCTAGGCTTACCTGTAAATTAAGAAAGAAAACCATTAACACATGAATGTTGTCATAATAATTAAATATTATTAGGAATTTTATTAAGTTTCTACAATATTTTACAAGAAATATCACAAAAATGAGTTTTTGGTTAAAATAACTAAGTCACACATATTTGTTATTACTTTTTCAAGGGGGATGGGTTAAAAAATTATTATTATTTTTATTACAATGTTGTTTTCATTGATACAAATCAAATTTGGGGTTTAAGAAATTAAAATATGTACATTTTAACAAGTAACAGAAAAAATCATTCCTAAGCAAAATACTAAACATTTTAATGTATAAAGTCAGAGAATCATTTCAAAAGTTATAATTTTCCAACACTGAAAATGTATTTCCAACAGGTATTTACTTCCACTCACATACATAACTATTGTCTTGTTCAGTGCTGCCCTCTATTTGTAAAACTTTTTTGCATGTCACAAGCCTTTCACTCCCATGCACCTCTCAATTCACAGGGTTTAAATGATTCTCGCATGCAAATTATGATGTGACAAACCTCCACCAACAGTAGTGCCATGTACCCACATGACTCATGTGACTCCCTCTATGCTATTCTACCTATCACTTCAAGTTTAGGGTTTAGGCAGAAACAAAAGCACTGGTTAACAGTGGGGAGGAAGGGTGGGAAGTGTGAGCAGAAGTAAGTACCTGTTGGAAATACATTTTCAGTGTAGGAAAACTATAACTTCCAACAAGGTACCTTACTTCTGCTCATAAGCATAGCTAGAATCAAACTTTGAATAGGTGGAGGGACCATTGCAAGGGAGAAAGTAAAAGCATCCAAAGTGCACTAACAAGAGGATCCTCTAATAAGAGGATTATATGTGGGAGACCACACTACTTCTGTAATAGGTATATTCTTCACTCAGATGTGGAAAAGTTGTGACAAATGTGGGCAGAAAATTATGAGGAGTACATCCCAATGGGAGAGAAAATGGTTGGACAGTGATCCTAACCACAATATATTATAATCTCAATCTCCCTGTCTGAACAGAATGTGGGTAAAATAAGAGATGTGCCCCAAGGTGCAGAAGGGCTAGGGCACGATGCACTGTACAAGGCAAGTCAACTGCATCGAAAACTCAACTGCCAGGAACCAACATCTGTGAGGGGAGTAGGACAAGGAACATACCGTCAGTAAGTTAACAACAATCCAAGACTCAACTGCCAGGAAACGACATCCATGAAGGGGTAGAAATCCCACCACTGATCTGTGAACAGGTAGTATGTGATAAGAGTGAAATAACCTACATATATATCCCGCTAAAATAAAACAGACTGGAACAATCTCAACTGCAGTAACATCCTCGGCATAATAAAATTTAGGGGAAACACAACAGCAATAAGCAGAGCAAACAACAAATGCACCCACCTTGACCCATAACACTGGGATAGTGCACTCGAGGCAAATTGAGTGAGGGACTAGAGACACTCTGAACACATGTGAAAACTTGTTTATTAGTTCACTTCTAAATCCAGAATTAATCACTGAGAACCAACATCCATGCAGAGGTAGGATAAGGGATCCCAATGGCACAACATGTGTGAGGACATATGGTGATTGGTTCAGCTCTAAATCCAAAATTCAACTGTTGAGAACCAACAACCATGCAGGGGTAGGATGAGGGATCTCAACTGCACTACATGTGTGTGAGAATATGATGATGATTGGTTCAGCTTTAAATCCAATACTCAACCGCCAAAAACCAACATCTATGTGGGGGTAGGATGAGAGATTACAATCGGCACAATATAAATGTGGACAATATGTTAATTGGTTCAGCTCTAAATACAAAACTCAACCCCCGAGAACCAACTTCCATACAGCGATAGGATAAAAGATCCCAATCATTATGATGGTGCACTTCTAAGCTACAACATACCCTCGGACAAATCCATGCAGAGATGGAGCATCCATTTGGAGGACATATCATCTACAGCAGCAGAACACCACCACCCTACTCTCAACTGAATGGATTCCTCATTCTTTATATTATACATCACTCATTCAGGAGTCCATGGTCCACTACTCCAGTGGCTTGGAACTGGAAAGTCGTAAGGACTCTTTTACTCCACAGGAAGAAATGGGTGGAATGCAGTGGAAAGTCCAGAGGAATGTTCACATTGGAAACAGTGCAATGGGTGACCACATAACCCTATTTTAAAAAGCAGATCAAACCTGATTTATTCAATCCAAGGAATGGAAGGGATTGGCAACAACCCATTTCTGCTTTAACTAGGAAGTCCATGGGTTAGTATGGTCCAGAACAGGCATACTTATGAAGCAAAGATATCAGGAGAAATAACCTATGAGCAATCTTGTGGAACACCCCATCTCTAGTTTTTGTGATGGACAGTGTGCATTTTGTGGTGATAGAAATTATCAAAGTGAAGTCAATATGGCCTTACAGTGTGGGTTTTAGTCCAATTTTAAGTGATTGAAGCATAACTGGACAGGCACCACTTCCCATAGAGCAGAATCCTGGTCAAAACATGGGACAGGCCCTGAAAAATAATACATATAACAAAAGAAAGAAAACATACCAGTGACAGTCTCACCAAAGAGTGAAGGATGGCAACAGGTGGAAAATAGTACCCCAACAAGGAAGAAACAGCTACCCAAAGCAGATAATGGAAGATGAATGTATGAGGTGTAATCACAGTCCTCAACAAACAAAGTACCTTCAAAAGATGATGGGGTTGAGATGTGGGTAAAAAGTAAAGTGCCTGAACAGAGTAAAGAAACCAGGAACTGATTATGGGAAGAAAGAGACAAGGAATAAAATGTCAATTGAATCACAAGCTGAGCCCAATGTGTAAGAGAGAAATGGAAGAAAAATCATGAACAGAGGTGTGGTGCAAGGGAATGAAACTATAGGAAATGGAGTCAAAGGAAAGAAGCCTTGAAAGCAATGAAGCAACCCAGAGCATGTACAGGACAGAGAAGTTCATCCAGATCTAACCAAAAATAAAGATGGAAGATGGCAAAAAACAAAAATTATGAAAACAATATTCCACACGAGTGCAGGTTAGTAAAACTGATCTAGAACAAAGAGAACATAACGAGCTGAAACAGCCAAGAAAGCCAGATCTGTGCTGGCCAGGAAGGACCAATTAGAAAGAACTGACCCAGACTTACATGGATGATCAAAATAACCTTCAGAAGGAGACTGATGGAATAAGAAAAAACTCAAGTTATAAACTGAATCTAATACTGTCTGAACATATCAACAGCCAGAGTGATTGGATGACGAACTGGAGACCAAAAATAAAAGAGGTAACTTTGAATTGAGAAAGGATTCAAATGCTTTCCATGAAAGAGTACCCCACAGGAGGTAGAGCTACTAAAAAAATTGAAGATCAAGAGGCTACTCCTCTGGAGAAAGTGGGTCAGGACTGGAAAGGTGATCTGAAATGAGGATGAAAGCAGTCGAATATGACACACCAAGAGACACATGTCAAGTACATGGGTTTAAAAAGGGAGATCCACTGCCTATCACAAATAGAACAAGAATGACAGCTCCCTTGGCAAGTGATATAAGCCATCACTATCAAATAGAATGAAAAATGATTCATGAAATCTGGACAAAAGGGAGAAAGTGAACTAAAGCATGTTGGACTGCCAGAAATGCCAAGTTGTTAACATGGTAAGACCTTTCACCTGTAGACCATTGTCCTGAAGCCTTTTGCTGATCAACCCACATCTCCCAGAGTACCAGAAAAGAGAGACAAATCTGGATGACGAATCAGTAATCCCAATGACAGGGAAGATATGTTCAACCACCAATACATACAGTCAAAGAGGGAAGAAGGAAAGTTAAAAGGAGAATCCAGAGGAACCATCAGACCATGGATTCTGCAGCAGAGGCCTGGGAAAGCAAGCCATAATCAGGTGGAGGAAAACTAACAAAAGCTAGGTTGTCCTAACTGGGTTCGGCAGTTGTAAGAGAAAGTCAAGCAATATCGGAAGAAGGTAGAGCAACTCCTGTCTCCTGGGGCCTTCACAAACTAAATTAATTGTAAGTATAAATTATTAAGAATTACGAAAATGAAATAGTCAAAATAATTTCAATTGAAGTAAGCGTAACTGAAGTAAGTAGTGAAATAAACGTATGTATAAGATGTTATTTAATGTAATTATCAATTTACCAATAAAATGAACTACAGGTAAACTGAAAATAACAGACACTTGATAAGCCTAACTGAACTGTGCAGGACAAAGTATATCACTAACACTATTTTAAAAATCCTAACCTAAAAATAATACGTACAATACTGGGAGAAGTTTGTGCAAACCCTGGCTCCAGGGGTCCACACAAACAAAGTTAATTTGAAGAAGTATAAAAGATAAATAATAAAAATAGATGTTATATTGTAAAATTAAGTATGTGTGCATTAACAATAACATAAGTATGAGATGTGATGTTTTGAAGAAAAAGGAATATAGTTAACGTAATTTATGCTAAACCAGTAAGATTAATTACAAGTAATCCTAAAATAACAAAGACCCATGTTATGCCTAATCTAATGTTATAGGGCAAGGGATACAAATAAGCTCTAATTTCAAACCTGAATGTAACTATGAGTATTGCCCATATCTAATTAAACTTATGTTATTGAACCTAAATAACTACACATAATAATATTAGCAGTAAAAATATTCAAAACCATAACAGTATAATGCCTTATCTCTCCAAAGTCAGCAGCCCATATTTCAAAATGTGTGGGCCCCCAAGCTCAAGTCGAGGCCCGACGAAGGTCAGCTCATTGGATGATCTATCTCCCAAAGAAGTAAAGCAGATAATTCCCTACACAAGGACCACCAACTGAAGCCTGTGTAAATGTGCTGATAGAAGATATATCCTTTGAAGTAGTAACTTAGAATAAGAAGTTCATATTCAAAAGGATTTGTAATGAAGTGTTAAGTTCTGTAACTGGGTAGAAAAATACAATAATTCCACTTCGGAATAAATTACAAATATCATTATTGTATAATAAATAGTAAACTTGGTGAAAGAATTTGATATGAAGATACAAAAAAAAACAACTTAAAGACAGCACAAATAAAATGTCTGAACAAGAGCACTGTCAAATGAGAAGAGATTTTTTAGGTAGAATAGAGTCACAAGTCACGCAGGTATGCGGGACTACTATTGGTGGAGGTTTGTCACATGATGATTTGCAAGTGAGAATCAGTAAAGCCATGTCAATCGAAGGGTGCATGGGAGTGAAAGGCTTGTGGCATGCAAAATTTTTTTTGCAAATAGAGGGCAGCACTGAACAAGAATAGTTATGCATCAGAGAAGAATTAAAGTACCTAGTCGGAATAAATCTGTATATAATGAGTGAATGCATTTGCAAATTTCTTTTCAGGCTGGATGAGACTTGCTCACATGTTGCTGCAGTGTTTTTAACACGTCCCGCAGGAGACAAGGGGTGTCTTTACACTAAAACTTGTTGAATATTAAAAGTAAGTTCAAATTAGAAACTCCCAAAGAGGGTGGTTTTGAATGTATCTTTTCAAGACAACTTAAAAAAAAAGTTTTCATTTGTTAATTGATAAATATTTAACTCTCTCAACATGGGCTTGGTCAATTTGACCAACCACATGATTTCTTTCTACTCGTTCAGAGTATTTATAGATTAGATAATACTATGTTAATATAGTGCATATACATCTTCACAAAATTTGTCAGTCTTTCAGTAAATATTACATACAAAAAAATAATTTTTTTTGATGAAATATTTTTAATAAACTAATTATAGATTTGTCCTTGAATATATTGAGTATTTGTTTTGAATAGTAAGTGATTTTCATGTTAAGATTAAAAATACCGTTTATTCATCTCAAAAATTTCAAATTTCATTTTTGTAATCTCTAAATCCTCCTAAATGCATATGAAAAGCTTGTTTTAAGTAAAACTTCATATTTTATCTGTAATTTTCTCTACCCTAACTCTATACTAGGTTGGTCAATTATATTGACCTCATAACCATAAAAAAAAATCTACGTAAATCTAAATTACCCTCTTTTTCTTTACAGAATGACTTCAAATGTAGCATGAAACTACATCTATTTATCCTAAGTAGCTTTAAACTTGTAACAGTATACACCAATTACGATTAAATTTTATTGTTTTATTGCCCTTTGAATCATGTCTAACTACTATTCATGTCATTATAAGTTGTAAATCACTTGGGGAACATCCATTGATCTCCGATCCAGGTTCAGTGTACCTTGCCACATGCCAATCGACAGTGCACATTTGTTTTTGTTATCAATGGCTTGTAGGTTGCAGCTCTTTCATGAAAATTCATGGCAAGCAGCTCTTGACATTTCGTAGAAACACTTATAGAATTTGCCTGTGGCTGCTCACACCTTGAAACACAGATTCTCTAGGGTCTGAAAGCAAGATGAGGTAACCAACCTTCTCAAGGTGAGTTGGCCCCTGTCAGCAGTATTTTATGCCTACCTGGTTGTTTTTTGGAATCATTGTCACTTGTCGACTTCTATTTTTTCAGCACGTTGCCAATTGTCGACTTGGAAATGTTTAATTGTTGTGCAATAGCACATACAGACATATTCCCCAAATGACATCCAACTATCCTTCCCCTCTGAAACTCTTTTAGCTCTTTCTGTGTACTCATCATTTGGTGTACAAGTTCGAAATGGCTTCTGAACAAACCACTGATCACCTTTATAGGCCAAACTATTTGCATATTTCGTCATCACAACAATTTTCCTGCAATCAGAGGTGTATCCCATGACTTTCGGTAGGATAGTGTATATCAATAAAGCCACATTCTCAGTATCATTAATTAAGCAATTGCCAACCATTTATGCTTCTGCTATCACCTTTTTATGTTTAGCTTTCAATTGAAATACAAACGATTTCACCTGTGATTCAGTAGAGAAGGCCAAAGCATCACGATAGTCAGCAGCAGGATGAGCAGACAGGAACACTTTGATAGCAATTTCAGGCATAATATTGTACTTGGCTGTTAAGCTTGTGATGCACTGACAGATTTCAGTCACCTTACCAGTTCAAATCACTTTTTGCAGCCCCGATGCAAAAAGAGTGTGGGAAATGCCTTGTTTTTAACCAATATAAATGTCCAAAAAATTTCAGTTCAAATTAAGAAAAACCAGATTAGCTAGTTATTTTTTTCAATAAAAATGTCCCCTACTGGCTCATGTTAAAATAGGGGATGCAGTGAGGCTAAGATTTACATCATCATCATGCACATCTGTTACCTGCCAGTGGAATGCAAGCTTCACAAAAAGATTAATGCAGCACCTATAAGCCAGATTGCATTTTACAAGGAAAGCTATGGAGGAAAATCTACCAAGATAATATAGTCTTTTTAATTGCACTGACAGAAGTTTCACCAAAATCAGTTTCGCCCTCTTATTATCCACAAACTTCTCATTTATTTAATGAAGACACTCCTGACACGATTATAGAGGATTATTTCTCTGTTGATTTAAGAAGGGAATTTGCTCAAGATATCAGCAAAGACAAAACAAGTGCCAGGTGTAAACTCATCATGAAAACAACTTATGATGTAAGTGAAAGCCAAAGGAACAATGCATGTAAGGCCACAATTCAGCAAGCAGCCACAGTGCAATGGTTTAAGTTTCAAGCTGGGAGAATCACCAGTAGTTCAGCACACAACTGGCTAAAAATACCACTGGAAAATCCTAGCAGATCTGCTGTTTTGTCCACCACCAAGCTGAGGAAAAATGCATTTATCGGACTGGCTGCAGCTCACAGGTGAAAAAATGAAGACATCGCAAACAAAGATGCTATAGCCAAAATGAGTGCCACACATATAAATATGACATTTTCCAAAACTGGATTAATAATTTCTAGTGATAAGCCATTTATATTTGCCAGTCCAGATTTTTTGGTAAATTGTGAACATTTTGGTCACTGGGTTGGTGAGGTAAAGTGTCCATTTCATACAAAGATTCAGTGATAAGTGATATCAAGATTCCAGGATTTTATCTTTAGAATAGCACTTTAAAGAAAAGTTACCATTACTACACACAAATTCAGTTACATATGTTTTGCACAAATATGAAGAAGCATCTATTTGTAGTCTGGACTTTTAAAGAATGCAAGTTAGTACCTATGTTGAAGGATAACAAGTTTTTGACCAGTGTGATTGCAGATTTAACAATCAAATATGAACAAGTTATAATACCAGAAATACTGACAAGGCAAATAGAGTAGCCAACAATGAGAAAGTTAATGTGCCAGCAAAGAAAGTAACACATTTTGTTTTTGAAATGGTCCCAAAACAAGTGATATGATTGGCTGTGTCAATCCTAATTACAATGCTGGTAACCAGTGGTTTCATTTTCCTTGTGTAAAAATTAAGCATGCTCCAAAAGAAAGGTGGTTAGGTCCTACATGTATAAAATGCAATAAATGAACAATAGTGTGATGATCACCAAGTGTAATACATATTTTTATTAAATATTTTCTCATGAAAATGTGTATTCTTGAAGTTTAATACAAGTTCAGTTAGGTTGAATTTCATTTTTATGTACTTTTGATTCAGATACAACCCAACAAGCCATCTTATAAAGTTATTGAAAGGTTTAAAAACTTCAGTACTATTACTGTGCATTTACTATTTAACTTGTTTGTAAAGTGGTTCACATGCAAAATTTGAAAAATGCAAAGCAAGCATCTGTTTCTGAAGACTATTTTTTAGGGGTTCCAAATTTTTGACAAGAAGTAAAAAAAAATACACTGATTTTCAATGCAACAAATAAAATTAACATACAATCATAAAAGCTGTGTGCGATGTGACTTATGTAATAACTTAGGGAATGGAAGGTATGGATATTAAATGAACATGAGAAGTTATCACATACAAAAATATATTTAGGTAATAAACATTATGGATATTAAATGAACACAACACTTATCACATACAAAAATATATTTAGGGAATAGAAATTATGGATATTAAATTAACACAAAAACATATGCAGAAATACAACAAGTATCTAAAAAATTAAATTGTCTGATTTCATTTCACTGTCAGTGTAAAGCCTTCATAATGTAAATGTAACCCTGAACCCATCTACTCAGCATTAAAGTGTAGCATCATGGGATTTAATACCAAATAATTAGAAAAACAATCACAGAAAATAAGAAAAAAATTAAAATTTAACTGTTACCATTAAAGGTATAACACACAAATCAACAACAGACACAATGATACCAGCAAAATATGAAACTAACATTTTGTACATTAAAAAATAAATAAATAAAGGAACCCTTAAATAAAAAAAGAAATATAAAAAGCTACATGTAAAAGGCAACTTCTATTCCAACATTTTATTTTTGTGTTTTGCTGTATTTTCTTTTAGTGGAGAAAAATTTGTTTATTTTGTCATTTATATATCAATACCTTTTTCTTCTTCAAGATTTTTTTTATATTTTAATGTTAAAATTATTTTTAAAATTGCTTATTGTTTCTGTTTAAACAAAAAGAGTAAATATACATAGGTATAGCAAATGCAGTTCAATTCAAACATTTTCTTATTAATGCATACATTTACTTTTATGAGTAGTTTTCATTGGTTAAGCTATACCACATACAAAAGAATAATAATAAAATAAATTATAAAATAAAATGAAACTCACACCCAAAAAACTAGTAAGAAATAAAAACAGAAAACAAAGTAAAACTAAAAGATGAAGAAAAATATTCTCATTCCTACCAGACATAAAATGTGCACCACAAAGGACAGCATGCTTCCTGGGGTCCACGTTGGTTCATCTTTGTTTATTCCTATAGATGCAGCTATTCAATGTTGCTTTCTTTCAGTGTTTTCTGGAAATCTGTGAAAGCTAACTTGACTTCTTTTCTCAAGTTGTGATTTGTGCACCCCAATGCAACATGTTTTGTGGGCATTTTGGTTATGACAAAAGGTTTCTTAAAATTTATATCTATATGGTATACAAAAATATGACAAAATAATTTTGTATATTGAGCTGTATATAAATCCCATTTATTGGGACGACCATCGTTTGCCTTTAATTAACGCCTGGTTTATAATGACATCAATTTCACACCTCTGATAAACAATTCAGGCTAATATTAACCTTATCTGAGGTAAAAAAAAATATTGACAACATTGTTTATAAGAGCATGCCCTTAGGTGCAGTCCAAAATTGTAGAATACAAATTATGACCACCTTTATCTACTTATCAAAATACAAGCAAAAGTAACCAGTATCATTCATTTCAAGACTTTGCCAATTAATTAAATTAGGTAAGGGGACATTTACTACTACAAAAAGGAAACTTTTTTGGGGACTTCACTGTAATTATTCAGACAAACTGCCTCAGAATGTTGACATCTATTGGAAAAAAGGCAAAATGGATACATGGGGGCCAGTAGTTTGAGTGTCACTTCTAGGTTCTATGAATTGTTCCCCAGAATAAGAATACTGAATCATAAAAAGGAATATTTAATACTACCAATATAAATATATACTGTTTAGGAGTTTTGATTATAAAATTTTGAAAAAGCAAAAGGGGAGACAAAGAGGTGTCTTTTTCAGATTCTAGGTATTGTTCCCCAGATTATATGCACTGAACGAACCTGTCAAAGTCAAATGCAATTGTTTTGGTGATAACTCGTAGGGGAAATGTTTTGGAATTGAAGTTATTATTACTGTACTCGACCTTGAATAATCACTAATATATTTAGCTTTGTGTAATTTAGATGGTCCTCATTACATTCCATAAAATTAAAATTGCTTTTAATTATAACTATACCACAAGATAGCGCTCTGTTTTTTGTTGTTGTTTCTGTATTTCTTATAGGAAAATAAAGAATAATTTTGCGTTTTACCCACTCCCTAATACCATTAGTATTACTATTAGCAGTAATACTAACTAACAATTAAATCCTATTTGCCTTTTGTTCTTGAAATGAGTTAAAATTCTGTGACTCCAAAACGTATAAAAAACATAACATATTCCAAGTTCGCACTTTAAATATTTTGACATATAATAAATATTCAAGTGCAACTTAATTTAAATTACGCACCAGTTTGCACTTTTCCTCTTGGTGCTTCCATTATCGTAATTCTGGCCTCTAGGCAAACCGAAACAGTCGGAACTGCCAGTACGCCGCCAAATCTTTTCCCCACGTCCAAATTCCATCAGTACTACTACAAATAGAGTGGGATTTGGCAGCAATCTAATTTTCAGTAAATGTTGATTTTTTTTTCAAATTTTATTCATTAACTTTTTGTTTGAACAAAATTTATTTCGTAAATACATAACTATTCTTTCATTTAATGTCATATAATCAGCCTAATTTGTACATTATTTGTTAAGTTTTTTATTGCCAAGTAGTGTTGCTAAGGGCGCCTATAATAAATGAAATGGATCTTGTTTTTCTTAAAAGTCGCTTTAATTTTGGGGAAATAGCTGACTTCAACACACAGTAAAATAGTTGTAGGGGTGGTTTCAGCGAATAACTAGGTCAACGATAAACCTCCACAGTGATAATGCCAAACCCTATTGGCATGCACCACCTTTGGCTTACCTCGCCGACCACATTTTATTCGGAAAGTCACGTCTGAGAGACGATGCACTTTGTCATATGGGCCTTCTCATGGAGAAGATAACTTAAGAGACTTCACCTTGGTCTTCCTGGGATTACATAACCACACCTTGTCTCCTGGTACAAAGCTGACTTCAGTAGATTTCTTATCATAACATAGCTTCATGGAATCAGCAGACGTTTACAAGTTTGAACGCACTTGATGATGAATATCATTCATCCTTTCAGATAACACTTTCACGATCTCTGGCACATTTTCAGGCAACTCTTCGTAAGGTGGGTGTCCTGTTATCAGGTCCACTGGCAACCGAAGTTCCCAGCCAAACATCAGCTTTGCTGGAGTGTATCCAGTGGCTTCATGCTCTGCTGTTCTACAAGCCACCAATAGTGGAGGGACTAAAACATCCCAGTGATCTTGGTAGCTATTACAAAACTTTGCCAATTCCTGTCCCGGTGTCTAATTGTACTTTTCTACCATCCCATCTGATTGTGGGTGAAATGGCGTTGTCCTGGTCTTACGTATGCCAAACAACTTGCAGCATTCATAGAACACAGCTGATCCAAAGTTATGGCCTTGATCTGAATGCACTTCATATGGCACTACCAACCTAGAAGAAGAAATCGACTAATACGACCAAAGTACC